TCCCTATTTAGGTAGATGGACCCTTGGGGAAAACCCTGAGCCCCAGACCCCTCCAGGAGCCCTTGCACACGACAGGAAGTCGGTTTTTTTCACGAACAAATGTGCGAGCAACATGAACCTCAAGATTCAGAGCTTCGGGTTCATGGGTTTAGGGTTTAGGGTTTAGGGTTTAGGGTTTAGGGTTTAGGGTTTAGGGTTTAGGGTTTCGGGTTCATGGGTTTAGGGATGCAACAGCCCTAAACGCTGAAGACCAAAGGCCCATGCCAGTCCTTGCACCGCAGGCTCTCGCTCCTGCCGTTGCGGATTTGGGTTCCGGCGTAGGTTGTGACTGCTCAGGGTGTAGGGTTTTAGGGTTTAGGGTTTAGGGTTTAGGGTTTAGGGTTTAGGGTTTAGGGTTTAGGGTTTAGGGTTTAGGGTTTAGGGTTTAGGGTTTGGGGTCTCTGAACCTTCAAGTGTCAGAGACAACCAAAACGGAGCTTGGGCAGGGGGAGGTAGCATTGGACTCTCGCGCTACGGCAGCAAGAGTTCGAAGTCCTTGCAAAACTGCCCGAAAACCCTAAACCCTAAACACTAAACCCTAAACCCTCAACCCCAAACCCTAAACCCAAGAAACCCTAAACCCTAAACCCATAACCCTAAACCCATAGCCTTCGACTCCAAAACCCGCGTCAGGCGCTCGACCCTCCTAAACCCCGAACCTCAAGCACCGGTAGCCTCCTTGCCCCGGAAAAGCAAAACCCTTCTCCCCAAACCCTAATCCCAGAACCCCGAAGCCCCACGCCTTTATACCATTGAAGGCCGCAATGATGATCATAAAGACTTAAATGGACCAGCAGATTGGCGTGAAGACCATTAAACAGAACGCCCCCAACACACCGACTGGAAGCTTTCAGCCGTATCCGAGGTCGCGACCCTGGCGCAGGATCAGCCTTCCAGAACAGGGTTTCGGGGATCTGGGGCGAAGGTTTAGGGTTTAGGGTTTAGGGTTTAGGGTTTAGGGTTTAGGGTTTAGGGTTTAGGGTTTAGGGTTTAGGGTTTAGGGTTTAGGAGTTTAGGGTTTATCAGACCCTGGAGCTGCACCACCAGTGACAATGCGAAGATCGCAACGCGCCATGAACTCGTTAGTAACCCGATGTAAACCCTAAACCCTAAACCCTAAACCCTAAACCCTAAACCCTCTCAACCCTAAGCCCTCTCAACCCTGAGCCGGATGTTCGAGCTTCCGCCTTGGTGCCTGCTGCCGGCGAGAAGGAACTGGCATCCTCTGCCGAGGGTTTAGGGTTATGGATGTTAGGGATTGGGGTGTAAGGGCTTAGGGTTCAGGGTTGAGGGTTTAGAGTTTGGGGCTTAGGGGTTGAGGTTTTGGGGTTTAGGGTTTAGGGTTTAGAGTTTAGGGTTTAGGGTTTAGGGTTTAGGGTTTAGGGTCAGAATCTCTTGTGTGTCGGGGTCTTGGGGTTTCGCGTTTCGAATTGGAACAACCCAAGACCAGCCCCTTTGGAGGATTCGGGGTGTGCGTTTTGGGTTTTGGGGTGGCTGGGATGTGCCCCCTTATACGAACAGTCCTTAAAAAGGGATGATTAGTACCCCCGATTATAATCACGATTAAGGAGTGTTAGTATAAGGGGGGACATCCCAAGGTGTAGGCCTGGCACCCCGACTACCACCCCAAGGGAAGCAAGAGCGTGGCCAGTTAAAAGAGCTGAAAAGGGTTTAGGGCTTAGGGCTTAGGGCTTAGGGCTTAGGGTTTAGGGTTTAGGGTTTAGGGTTTAGGGTTTAGGGTTTAGGGTTTAGGGTTTTTTGGCTTTGGGCGGTTTGGGAGTTTAGGGGCCAGTTCTGGGTTTCTTGGGGCTCACTTTCAGGTGTTGCTGGGTTTGCGGGGGGCTTCAAAGCGCAGTTCGGCCTACAAACGAACCCAACACCCGGCCGCGTCCTGCAAGCTCCCCTTGCGCTCGCGCCTGCCAGGCAAGACTAAAAACACTTGCCCCCACCCCCTCCTCCCACTGAACCCTACACCATAAAGCCCTAAACCTAAACATTATACCCCTAAACCCCGCCCAAAAAGGTTACTCGGCATCTACAGCCCGCAACCTCCCTCCCTCCTCAACACAGGGGGCCTTCAAGACTTGAACAGAACCCATGATAACGTGCTCAAGAGACAAAAGGGCTACTTAGGTATGTAGGGACTACATAAGGTATATATGATATGTATATATATATATATATAGATTTAAATTTACTTATTTACTTATGTATTCATTATATTATGTTGCTGTTTATATATAGGGGCTTTATAGGGAAATAAGATCAAGGTCCCTTCCTCAGGTCCCTCCTTCGAGCTCATAAATACCATGCTCAAGGGATTAAGACTCGTACCCCTAAGGCGGTACCCCCTGGCTGGGTGGACGCCCGGGGACAGTGAGACGAGGGCTCTGCAAGCTTCTTTGTCGCTGCGTGACACGCATATGGGCTTCTTGAACCCTGGAGCCTTACCTGGGAATCTTAGACAGCTTGGAACCCTAAACCCTAAACCCTAAACTCTAAACCCTAAGCCCTATATTAAGGGGATCCTTATGACCCAAACAAAGCAGCTTTACTTGGAGATTCACGGCACTTTTTAACAAGTGTAAGTGTACTTACAACCCACTTATAAGCCCCTTAAGTGCCTGATATGGTTATAGGTGCAGAAATAAGTACAGCTACAATTGGTTAATAAGTACCACTAACCTCCAATGCATAGGGTTCTTAAGGGAGGGGGATTCACGGGGGGTAGGTACCTAGGGAGCCTTAGGGAAGCTTAGGGAGCCTTCGGGAATAGTCGGGAGTATTGGGGAGTGGTAGGGAACCTTGCTTGAATTACACTATCCCCTTGAACCCCTCTTCGTTAAGAACCCTATAAGTAGCTGTGGATGTTCAAGGGCCCCTCATCCTTGAAACCCCAAAACCATACAACACCTGAAACCCCGAAACCCTAGAACCCTGAAACCCTACAAGCCTGAAACCCCAGGACTCTAGAACCCCGAAACCCCCGAAACCCCCGAACTTTATCCAAAACCCCGAAGCCCGAAAACCCAAAAAACCGAAAAACCCTAAAACCGCGAAGATCCGAAAACCCGAAAACACCTCAAAAACCCAAAAAAAAACTCGAAACCCAACCCCCCCCCCCCCCCCCCCCCAAAAAAAAAAAAAAACTGAACAATGAAACAGAACGGCACAAAAGCCACAGGCTTCCGTCGCCCACTGGCGCGCCTATGCTGCGCTTGCAGCAGGAAGGCCTCGGAGTAGAGCGGCGCCCGCCCCATGCACTGCTTCTCCTACGGGCAGGGCTTAGGGTTTAGGGTTTAGGGTTTAGGGTTTAGGGTTTAGGGTTTAGGGTTTAGGGTTTAGGGTTCAGGGTTTAGGGTTTAGGGTTTAGGGTTTAGGGTTTAGGGTTTAGGGTTTAGGGTCTAGGGTCTAGGGTCTAGGGTCTAGGGTCTAGGGTCTAGGGTCTAGGGTTTAGGGTTTAGGGCTTGGGGTGGGGGTACAGGGCTTGCAGGGGTTAGGGGCTTAGTTAGGGACTTAGGGCTTGGGGTCTAGGGTTTAGGGTTTAGGGTTTAAGTGGCCCTCGAACACGAAAATCCGTAAACCCCAAACCCCTCAACCTCAAAACCCTGAAGCCCCCAAACCCCAAAACCCCCAAGCCCCTACAACCCCCCCACAATCCCTCAACCCAAAAACTCCTAACCCCAAACCCGCAACCCTCAACCCTAAACTCATGCCCCCCAAACCCTAAACCCTAAACCCCAAGCCCTAAACCCTAAACCCTAAACCCATGAACCCCTGAACCCTAGACCAACCCTCCCCAGACCAAACACCTCCGCGGAAAGCCCGGAGCGTCTGTGCAACAGCTTCTTGGCCTGGGCCCAAGGCCGCTAGGGTTTAGGAGCGAGGGTTTGAGGTTTAGGGTTAAGAGCTTAGGGTTTAGGGCTTAGGGCTTGGGGTTTAGGGTTCAGGGTTCAGTGTTCAGGGTTTAGGGTTTAGGGTTTAGGGTTTAGGGTTTAGGGATTGTCCTTCACAGATTCGGGGGACCCTCCAGGACGTCAGAATCGCTCGAGGACGAATTTGGGTAGCTCTCGAAGATAGGGTCCCTGTTGGGGTACCCATCAAAAGGCGGCACCCTTTAAAGAGGGAACCCTAAACCCTAAACCCTAAACCCTGAACCCTAAACCCTAAACCCTAAACCCTAAACCCTAACCCTAAACCCTAAACCCTAAACCCCTAAGTTAGGAAAGTACACATTTTTGGCAAGCCATGAGGCCATGCCGACGGAAGGAACACCGCCGCTGGTGCGGGGGAGGCCAGCATGGCGTGGCTGAAGCCCCGTCAATGAGGTGAGGGCTGAGGGCATTTAGGGTTTGGGGTTTAGGGTCGAGGGTTTAGGGTTGAGGGTCGAGGGTTGAGGGGCTGAGGGTTTAGGGTTTAGGGTTTAGGGTTTAGGGTTTAGGGTTTAGGGTTTAGGGGGCCTAGGGTTGAGACTTCCAGGTGCATGGCTTGGGGCGAGTCCGAAGCCTACAAATTCGGGCCTCTGAAGCTGAAGCCACCGTTCATGCACGCGCTGCTGGACACAGGAAGCATGTTCGTGACCCATCATGGCCTACACGTATATTATACTTCTGAACTATATACTACTCTATACTATATGTTTTAAGTTATATACATAGACATATAATATATATATATAATGCACTACGATATACTATGACACATCATTTGCGAGGCCCTGTGAAATGACGGCTGTCAGCTTGCCTTGTCGGTGTCCACTGCTCAGGCTCCAAGCTGCTGCCCGCTTTCTTGATCCGCAGAAGCACAGAACTCGAGGTCAGCAGCACAACTAACTTTACATGTGACTGCACTGTACAGAAACATTCGCAATAGGAAGCGTGTCAACGCCCACTCAGCGCTGTCGATAACAGCTAACAGCTGAGTACGCCGGAACGGCGCCTCCTGTACAAAACTCACAGGCCTCAGTAGTCCTTGCACTGGACGCCGGGTCGCGAATGGCACTTGCCCGCCACCCAGGGCAGGGAACGGTTGCAGTAGGGGCCCGTCCACATGGGGGAATCACGCGTGAGGTCGTAGCATTGGTACAGAGGCTGGGTGGTCTCGTCTGGCGTCAGCCAGGGGAGCAGGCGCTCTCCGACATCTGGGCTGCTGCAGTTGTTCAGCGGCCCTGCCGGCGTCGCCATGTCGATGCAGCCAATGTCGAAACAGGTGTACGTGTGCTGATTGGAATCCACAAGGTAGGCTGAGAACTGGGGATAGGCAGAATACGGCTTCAGATGCTCGCTGACCTCCTCGTAGAAGGAGGCGTTGGTGAACTTGGGTACCTTGTCCCAGCCCTGGGTGGCGATCAGCCACAAGTCATCCAGGATCACAAGCATGTCTGCAAAGGCCTTCTGGACCATGTCGAACTTGCTGCTCAGCATGAGGTAGCGAACATCGGGGAACTTCTGCAAGGTGTCCTCAACGAAGTCGGCCAGGAAAAGCTCATCCGGGTGGCATTTTGGGCTCAGGTCGGGTGGGACGACACCGGAGTCGCACAATCTCCAGTAGTCGATCACCTGCCGTTGCAGCAGGTCCTGGTCATCCACCATCACCCCGAGGAAGGAGTCGCCGATGAAGTAGGTGCCCTTGGGGTCGTACTTGCCCTCGAGGCGGGTCAGGATGTCACTGCCCCAGATCTGAAGGCCCAGGGAACCTGCGGACTCGCCTGACACGACGAGACTCGAAAGCCGATCCAGGCCGTGGCCGCCGTGGCCGGCGTCGTGGCCACCGTGGCCGTCGTCGCCGGCGTGGCCGCCGAACTGCTCGTGAGTCCATTTCATGACGGCGTCCATGTTGGCATAGCCCGACTGCTTCTTCCAGGCGCTGGCGGTCTGGTGTGCGAGGATCCAGAAGTTCTCCGTGGCGCCCCCGAAGATGTCGCCGGAGCAGTACGGAACGTCAATGACGGTCCAGCCGTAGAATGGATTGCCCGGCTCCGAGGCATTGAAGATCCCGCTCGGGGTCATGGGCGCCGTGCGCGTGCATGCATCCAAAAGGAACGTGACCCAATTCCAACAGGCCCCTCCGCCATGCATGTGCAGAAGCACTTTCTTGGGGTCACCCCTGTAGACCAGGAACTCAAAGTCACCCACCATGCAGCTGGTGGACCCTCCCGGGCGCACGGCCGTCCACTCATCCCGAGCGAAATCACCGAGGCTGCACTTCGAAGTTGCCAGGTCGCAGGTTTGGTAGCTGATGGAGCTGTCTCCCTCTCCGCCCTTGAACTCGTTGAAGGTCCGGACGACGCCCACCCTCTCCAAGACGTCCCTCGAGAGGAAGAGGGGCATCGAAAGGGTCTGGATGCCCACGTTGCCCGCGAAGATCAGCAAGAGAGCCACAAGCAAGCAAGTCGCCGCAATCATCACGTAGCCTGGAACAGCTGCCTTCTGTCCACGTGAGCCGCTGCGGATGTTGTTGTAGATCAAGCACACGAGCAGCACCGTGGCAGGAAGCAGGAGAAGCAGCGCCACTGCGTTCCACCACCACCAGGGCACCACCAGGGAGCGGAAGAAGTACGTGGGCGCCAGGGCCGCGTAGGCGAGGGCCTCGCACACCAGGGCGGCGTGGGAGAAGTCCCAGGCATTCGGCTTCCCCTCCGTAGCCGCCGTGGCTGCCGTGGCCTTGATCAGGAAGCCATGCCCCAGCAAAAGCAACACGCCCAACACGGGCCAAAGCCATGTGTCCAAAAATGCACTGAAGACCACCACGCCGACGCTGACCAGCGATGCGGCTGCCAGCAGGGTCCCCACCACCAGGGACACACAGGCGTCGCCGGAGCCTGGCGCCCCCGCTGGCAAAAGGTTTTGCTGCTCCTCTAGATCCTTGTCTGACGGTCGACCGGGGCCAAAGACCTGGGCCAACAGGGCCCGCATCTGCGAAACATGCCCAGCCACTTCGGTCATTTCCTAAGGGAGATGTGGGAGATGTGGGAGAGGACTGCTACTGCTCTTCACACTGAGCCAGGGCGTCAATTCGTTGCTGGTTGCCTGCGCAAACTCTGCGGCAGACCCTAGCGCAAGGGCTGCGCCACAAGAAATGCAACAAGAGAGAGGAGAAGCCAACTCCACACAAGCTCTGTGGCCATCCAAGCAGAGCCTTGACTTCGGATGCGACATTTTGTTCCTGCTTTGCCTCTGCCCTCCGCCACCACTGCGTATCGGTGCTACTGAGGCTTCCGCCTCTGAGTCCATCTACCTCGCTGCAGCTTTGCAGCCTGCGAGGGGAATACTGGGTTGTGCTGCCGCAAGCTTACCACCCTGGAACTAGAGACCTCAGCAAAGTCGCCACAAGGGTTCGAAAAGCGGCCCACGAAACTAGAACGAACCCTAGCAGAAAGGCGGGCCATGCAAAGAGACAAACAAGAACTCTCCCAAACCCTGAAAGTAGGGACTCGCTGCGAGCCCGGCGCTTCGCAAGCCTGCGCGAAGGGTTTGCGTATCCAGCGACGGATCATGGCGGCACATTCGATGCTACTTCTGGGGGGGGAGAGCGGGGTTTTTTTCGTGATCCACGGGTGTTGCCGGGCTCTGGTTTGTCTTGAAATGTCGGGAAAGCTCATTCCCAGAAAGTTCGGTTTGCACAGCCAAACCAGCTACGCGATCAAGATTCAGCACCTGGTACATCATGTCTGTGAGCCAACCTGCCATGACTGCTGGCAGCTTGCATTGACTGTCGGTGTCGCTGTCCGCTGGTCAGGCTTCATTGTGCGGCCGCTTTTCCGTGAAGAGTAAAGACGGCACATCTTTACATCTGCAGAAGCATTCACCACTCTTACTTCTGAGGGCGGCGCGCAGATAAAGTTAATAAGACCGAGCACAAATGTTTCGCGGGAGGAAACGTTCAAACAGTTGAGGTACACCGGAACAGCGCCTCCTGTACAAACTCACAGGCCTCATGAGTTCTTGCACTGGACATCGGGTCGCGTGTAACAGTTACCCGGCACCCAGAGCATGGAACAAAAGCAGCAGGGGCCAGTCAAAATTGAGGAAACAACTCGTGAGGTCCCCACAAGCCTCAGTAGTCCTTGCACTGGACGCCGGGTCGCGAATGACACTTGCCCGCCACCCAGGGCAGGGAACGGTTGCAGTAGGGGCCCGTCCACATGGGGGAATCACGCGTGAGGTCGTAGCATTGGTACAGAGGCCGGGTGGTCTCGTCTGGCGTCAGCCAGGGGAGCAGGCGCTCTCCGACATCTGGGCTGCTGCAGTTGTTCAGCGGCCCTGCAGGCGTCGCCATGTCGATGCAGCCGATGTCGAAACAGGTGTACGTGTGCTGATTGGAATCCACAAGGTAGGCTGAGAACTGAGGATAGGCAGAATACGGCTTCAGCTGCTCGCTGACCTCCTCGTAGAACGAGGCATTGGTGAACTTGGGTACCTTGTCCCAGCCCTGGGTGGCGATCAGCCACAAGTCATCCAGGATCACAAGCATGTCTGCAAAGGCCTTCTGGACCATGTCGAACTTGCTGCTCAGCATGAGGTAGCGAACATCGGGGAACTTCTGCAAGGTGTCCTCAACGAAGTCGGCCAGGAAAAGCTCATCCGGGTGGCATTTTGGGCTCAGGTCGGGTGGGACGACACCGGAGTCGCACAATCTCCAGTAGTCGATCACCTGCCGTTGCAGCAAGTCCTGGTCATCCACCATCACCCCGAGGAAGGAGTCGCCGATGAAGTAGGTGCCCTTGGGGTCGTACTTGCCCTCGAGGCGGGTCAGGATGTCACTGCCCCAGATCTGAAGGCCCAGGGAACCTGCGGACTCGCCTGACACGACGAGGCTCGAGAGCCGATCCAGGCCGTGGCCGCCGTCGCCGGCGTGGCCGTCGTCGCCGGCGTGGCCCCCGAACTGCTCGTGAGTCCATGTCATGACGGCGTCCATGTTGGCATAGCCCGACTGCTTCTTCCAGGCGCTGGCGGTCTGGTGCGCGAGGATCCAGAAGTTCTCCGTGGCGCCCCCGAAGATGTCGCCGGAGCAGTACGGAACGTCAATGACGGTCCAGCCGTAGAATGGATTGCCCGGCTCCGAGGCGTTGAAGATCCCGCTCGGGGTCATGGGCGCCGTGCGCGTGCATGCATCCAAAAGGAACGTGACCCAATTCCAACAGGCCCCTCCGCCATGCATGTGCAGAAGGACTTTCTTGGGGTCACCCCTGTAGACCAGGAACTCAAAGTCACCCACCATGCAGCTGGTGGACCCTCCCGGGCGCACGGCCGTCCACTCATCCCGAGCGAAATCGCCGAGGCTGCACTTCGAAGTTGCCAGGTCGCAGGTTTGGTAGCTGATGGAGCTGTCTCCCTCTCCGCCCTTGAACTCGTTGAAGGTCCGGACGACGCCCACCCTCTCCAAGACGTCCCTCGAGAGGAAGAGGGGCATCGAAAGGGTCTGGATGCCCACGTTGCCCGCGAAGATCAGCAAGAGAGCCACAAGCAAGCAAGTCGCCGCAATCATCACGTAGCCTGGAACAGCTGCCTTCTGTCTACGTGAGCCGCTGCGGAGGTTGTTGTAGATCAAGCACACGAGCAGCACCGTGGCAGGAAGCAGGAGAAGCAGCGCCACTGCGTTCCACCACCACCAGGGCACCACCAGGGAGCGGAAGAAGTACGTGGGCGCCAGGGCCGCGTAGGCGAGGGCCTCACACACCAGGGCGGCGTGGGAGAAGTTCCAGGCGTTCGGCTTCCCGTCCGTAGCCGCCGTGGCCGCCGTGGCCTTGATCAGGAAGCCGTGCCCCAGCAAAAGCAACACGCCCAACACGGGCCAAAGCCATGTGTCCAAAAATGCACTGAAGACCACCACGCCGACGCTGACCAGCGATGCGGCTGCCAGCAGCGTCCCCACCACCAGGGACACACAGGCGTCGCCGGAGCCTGGCGCCCCCGCTGGCAGAAGGTTTTGCTGCTCCTCCAGATCCTTGTCTGACGGTCGACCGGGGCCAAAGACCTGGGCCAACAGGGCCCGCATCTGCGAAACATGCCCAGCCGCTGCGGTCATTTCCTAAGGGAGATGTGGGAGATGTGGGAGAGGACTGCTACTGCTCTTCACACTGAGCCAATGCATCAATTCGTTGCTGGTTGCCTGTTTGCCTCGGAAGCACTGCACGCAAACTCTGCAGCGGGACCCTGGCACAAGGGCTGCCGAAAAAAAGAGAGAGAGAGAGAGTGAGGAGAAGCCAACTCCACACAAGCTCTGTGGCCATCCAAGCAGAGCCTTGACCTCGGATGCGACTTTTTGTTCCTGCTTTGCCTCTGCCCTCCGCCACCACTGCGTATCGGTGCTACGGAGGCTTCCCGCCTCAGAGTCCAGCCAGGGTGCTTCCTTCAGCTCTGCAACCTGCCGTGGCTTAGCCAGCGCTTTGGGGCAATTTTTTTGTTACGAACACCGTCAGTCCGATGTTAGGGGGCCGCCCTAAAGGACTCATAAGACTCCGAAGAAACTCAAGTCCCATGTTGCACCGCATGTTGGTTGGACTAGGGAAGAGTGTTCAGATGTGATAAGTCGATTAGGGGGACCAGATGGGACCAGAAGCTCGAAGCCCTCAGCAAATGTCTCGCACCCGGGAATTTCGAGCCCGGAGCTCGCGCAGAAGCTGCTCCCAACTTGAGGAAGTGCGCACCCTCACGCGCAGGTTCGAAAGCTGATCTGAGTCTCGGGGCTACGCTGGCCTATGCTTTACCAGGAGCACTCAAAAGACAGAGGGATGCAACTTGCAAAGGAGGGCGGGTTGATGTGTGGCTTCTCTGCAATGCCCGGAAACCCTAAACCCGGAACCCTTGGTCCACAGGGCGTTCGCAAAGCCATAGCCTTCCTCCTCCTGGGGAGCAGGGTTAAGGGGTTTAATTGGTTCAGGGGTTTAAGGGGTTTAAGGGTTTAGGGGTGTAGGGTTTAGGGGTTTTAGGGGTTTAAGGGGTTTAAGGGGTTTAAGGGGTTTAAGGGGTTTAAGGGGCTTAAGGGGTTTAAGGGGTTTAAGGGGTTTAAGGGGTTTAAGGGGTTTAAGGGGTGTAGGACATGTTTGGGGGGTTGAAGGGTCTGGAGCCTACCACTCCTCACCCCTCGAGCAGATGGTCCCCAACATGGCCGGCACTGAATCGGGTTTAGGTTTTAGGGTTTAGGGTTTAGGGTTTAGGGTTTAGGGTTTAGGGTTTAGGGTTTAGGGTTTAGGGTTTAGCGTTTAGGGTTTAGGGTTCACGGACCACACGTTGTCCGCAAAGCGCGGAGGGCAGCGCTGGCCCAAAGAGCCCAAGACCCCCCTTTTCAAGAAGGAATATGCCTAAAATCAGTCTAAGGCTCAGGATCCCTTTTTTTAATTGTCAATCGAAGGACTAAGGCTAAGGATCCCTTGTTTTTTACTTGAAGGACTACGGCTAAGGATCTCCTTTTTTTTAATTGAAGGTCTATTCCTTCATTAGGGGCTACAGGCTTGGAGCCCAAAACCCTAAACCCTAAACCCTAAACCCTAAACCCTAAACCTAAACCCTAAACCCCCTTTTCAAGAAGGAGTGTACCCAAAAAATCAGACTCAGGGTCCCAGAGCCCAATTAAAGAAGGAAATGTGCCTCAAATCCAGGCGAAGGGTCCCTTTTTGTTGAGGGAACATGCCTAAAGTCAGGCTAAGGGCCCCCTTTTTTGTATAATTGCCCTAGCCCTAAACCCTAAACCCTAAACCCTAAACCCTAAACCCTAAACCCTAAGTTCCATTTCCTTCATGAAGGGGGGGCACAGTATTGGGGGCTCTCTGGGCGATTCTCGGAAGTGCTTGTTTTTTTATGCGGCTCAGGGTCTAGGGCCGTGGGTTCCTGCGTGGAACTACACATTCACATGTAGGGTATAGGGTTTAGGGCTTAGGTTTAGGGTTTATAGAAATTGTATAGGGTTTGGGTCCCAATAACGTTTCGAACGAAACGTTTCGTAC